AAGTCAGAGTTGAAGATTTACTTACATGGTTGCCCATATTCACTCCCAGAAGAAACTCAGATGCCCACATCCCACACCCCTTTGAAAATAAGACCCTCAAGAATTTGGTTCAGCCTCCTTTTCCAAACTTTGAAATGTGTCACCTCAAAAGAATTGTAAATGCGGTCAAATATATTATCTAACGCCACTCACCAATACTAAAAAGCTCACACCTACTTCCCTGGAAAGTGCTTATTTATTTGGCAACTCCGGCATTTAAAAAAAAAAAAGTAAATCACTCCTTGCCTGAAATCTCCTCCCTTCCCCCAATATAATGTCATCTACTTCCTGTGCAGGAGACAGCATTTGCTAAATCCAGGTTGTCTCATACTTAACTGCCAATAAACCAACTTCCACATAACTTCCAGACAGCTGGGGGAAAGGTCCTCGGAGTTTTAGTCATGGTCCAGAAACACGCGTCCACACAAAAATTTGCAGCTGTCCTTTCTCGACAGTGCATTTTTAATGTGATTCAGGGGGGCCTGTTGTGAAACATCTGACAAAATGTAAAATCCTCTTAGATACCTTCTAGTTTACCCACTGCACGTGTGTGAGAGAAGTTGCACCAGGATTTCTCCACCGAGAAATCTAGGCACTTTTTGCACACAGCCAGGGGCACCTTGTGGGATGTGAGGAGGCATTCAAAACCTGGAAAGACTTCTACTGTAATCTTTTAACACAGCCTCTGGTGCAACTATTAAAATGCTAGTTTTCTAAAGCAAATATTTTTTTTTTAATGGCATGCAGAACTGCAGCGATCCAGCACTGCAAACAGAACAGCATTCTTGATCTGCGAGCCCCCGGAAACCTTCCGGTAACTTTTTCACAGCTTGCTAAGAAACAGAAAGCTGACCAACTTCCAGCAGTGACTCTAAATGAAATCCCTATCAGTAAAATTAAAATCAAGGTGAAGAACTCCTGGCAAGAACGAGGACTGTTTTCCTCAAAATTCTTTCTCAATCAGACACAGAGGGCATCAGTCAAAGCTCCTTCCCTTAAACAGGCAAAAGTTTCCAAAAACACGTCTTTCAGATAAGCTCGTTAGGTTCCCAAATGCCTGAGTTTGTTTCTGGGGTTTCAGAAAGTTTCAATATCAACAAAGTGGAAAGCGCTGGCATACTTAATTTATAATCATTAAAATATGACCTATTGGGTGAATGTTGAGCCTATAATCCATACTGCAGACATTAAACCCCAACCTATAAAGATTAGCATGGAATTAATACGGTTACATTGAGATTGAAATCTAAACATGTTCGCCATAAATATTTCTGAAGGAGATGAAAAACAATTAGCATAAATACCAAAGAAGGGTAAGAACACCTGTTCTTTTTCAGGGCGATAAGCATTTTATTGTTCTCTATTTAAAATGTAATGACCTGTGTAATTACAGTAATATTACATTGTTATGTAGGGGCTTGGAATGTCACACTTTGAAAAGTGTTGTCAAAACAATCAGGGGTGAGGTGGGGGGTGGGAGGACAACTGGGAAGGACCACCGTTAACCCTTCACACTCCAAGGTCTAAATCTTTTGTATCAGAAAGGATTATGTTGTTTCAGTGAGGAAAAAACATCCATTTTTCACAAGCCAGAAAGAGAAGTTGCCCGGCTAAATAAAACCCCAATGAATAGGCCCCTCTCAGTTTCCTTTAAATGCTGGATTCCAAGTTCAAAAATGAATTCAAGATGCAGATTATTTATCTGTTCAACCTAGTAGCAAACAGCTCGGTTGAAAAGCAAATAACTTTGGATAAGAGAAGATGCAAGGGCTCGAATAATCAAGTCCTTAAAAAGAAATTTCAAACCTAACTGGAATTTCAACCACCATATTCCTATTTCCCCTTTGCCAGGAGGGAAAAAGAAATGTAAAACTACTTTTTCCAATCAACTTTAATAGGTTACAGTATTCTTATCTTTAGTATACAAATGTTACCACAGTTCTAATATTTGCAGTTCTAACACTTCCCATCTACTTAACTAGACCTCTCCTTAATGCAGTTTTGTATCTGAATCTGTCTTTTTAAAAGCCATTCCTATTACTGTATCAAAGACTAAATTAATATTATGCAGAAATCTTTGTCATTTTAAAATAAAATTATTACTATCAAGCTTTATGGTGTCTTCAGCAATTAAAGCATTATTCTTGAGATAATGTATTATTCATCATAAGCCGATTTAATGATACTCTCTAATTCTTTACATTCTTAAATAAAAAAGCAGAAATCAGGGTTCCAGAGAGTTTGCTTTTTAAAGGATGCAGCTGCTTACAGGTACACCATAAGTAACAGAAAATGTAGCAAAAATCACCGCCACCAAGGAGCAAAGGGAAAATAATAAAGCATACAGCAAATTTGTCTTTACACCTTGCCATTAAAAACACACCCTATAAAACACTAAGAATTTCAGAAGAGCATGGGAAGCCCGCTATCTTGCCTATGGATGCCTCCATTCCTCCCGCAGCTGTATCAAATCTGGAATTGCAAGCTGGCCCTCTGATTGAAGACGTCAGGAGTGACATACAACAGCCTACCGTCCTCATTTCCACTGCTCTGCTGACCAGCCTAAATAAATAACTTTAATTTTGGAGCACATAATCTAACCCAGGTAACAGGGAGGAAGGAGGAAGGGGCAGTGTACACAAAGATGTCTGCTGGTGTTTGACATGTAAGTACTAAAACTGCCTACTGAGTTCAGAAATGTCTTCTGAGACTCAATCTGATGTCACAGCACCAGGCCACCCGCTATGTCCACAATTAAAATAACTAGACGCCGTCTATTCCTATAATGCCCACAAAAGGGACCGATCATTGGGAGCCTTCCTTTTCTCACCGGGAAATCATTTATTTGCCTTTAACAATTTCCCTGTTTGCTAATTACAAGACAACACAACTGCTCAAGTTTGAGAAGGAATGGCAAGATTGCCAGCATCAGACAGGGAGTTTAAAAAGAGTCAAGAAAGCTAGCAAGTCCGCCATCAAAGCTCAATATTCCGATGGTTAAGTGGATTTTAAAATAATACCAGGGAGGTTTCCATCGGAAGGGGGAGGGGGGGAGAGGCAGAAATTCTCAGGGATTCTTTGGAATGTTGCTTGGGCCGGTTTATTGGTAGGCGAACACTGCGATTCTGAGCCGAACGGTCCCGTTTAAGATGCCCCACAAGCTCTCAAGAAAAATACAAAGTAAGCGAACTGTGCTTCCCCTACAGCTGCAAGCCCAGAGCGCGGCCCCTGCAGCCTGGTGGAACTGGCCCTGGAGAAGGGGGTCGAGCCGAACCGCTCTCCCAGCTTCCCAAGCATGCCTGGGCGCCGGGCAGGGGGGGAATAATTATTTCTCTTCCCTAGCCATAAAAAAATGACCGGTCTAGCATGCCCTTGCCATTTTGCCAGGGCCCAAAAAAACAAGTCAAACCTGATAGTTAATATTTTAATGCTTAAAAACACTTGTAGATCTGATCGACTCCCGTCCGGCAAGCCCTCGGCCATTAGCACCGAATCCACGGCTGCTGAACAGTGGGTGCATTATTTCAAATTGCTATCTGGAGTTACCGAAAAAGAAAAAACAAAAGTCGTGTGTGTAAATAAGGGGTAGGGGACCAAACCAGAGAAGGTGTAAAATGACAATCCCGGGAAGCCGGGCACAAATGCGTCTTGCGTCCAGAGATTCGTAATCCAGGCTTCTTAGAAGAGGGAGGGAGGGATGAGGAGGAAGGGGTTCAGGGTGAGGGCAGGGGCCAGAGGCCGGTGGGGGAGGGGATGAGCCGTCTTAACAAATGTCAGGGTTGGGCGCGGGACCGACCCTGCAGGAAGCGCCCCCCGAGCCCGGCACCCCGCGCTGCCCTAGGGCCCCCAAAGTTGGGTGGCCGGCGATCGGCGGCCCACTCCATTGAAGGAGAGGCGCCCCGGCCTCCCTCGGCCCCCGCACCTCCTTGAGCCCGCACACCCTGGTCTCTGGCCCCCCCCCAGGGCCCACGACGGGCCTACACGGAAGCTGGCGAGCGCAGACCCCGCCATACATCCCAAGGCGCCAAAATTCCCTAGAAATACACAAGTCCGCTTAGAGGAGTCCATTCCGGCTGCACACAAATCAAGAATCCGGGCCGCAGGGGCCTCTCCGCCCCACTCAGCCCGGCTGCCCTGCGCGGCCCGGGAGAGCCCGCAGCCAGCGCGCCGGGCAGCCGAGCCCGCCACGGCGCCCAGGGCGCTCGCGGCCCTGCGGGTCGCCTAAGAAAAGGACGCCTCAGAGCCCCCAAGTTTGCGGTGGGACCAATCTGGGAAGTGTGACCTTCCAGGGGAAGGGGGAAGGAGGGCCGAGAGCCAGAGATTGCCACTAGAAAGGTAAATACATAGCCGCCCAAAAGAAAGCCAAGGAACCTCTCCAGGGCCCCCGGCTCTGCGCGCTAGCCAGTTCTCAAGTCCAACGCCTGAAGGAAACCCACTCTCTACCCCGCGCGTCGGGCGCAGCACAGTCACTCGGGGCCCGCAGCGGCAGCCAAGGGGTTAACCGGGGAAAGCCCAAGACGCCACAGAAGAGGGAAGGAAGAGAAGGAGAGAGAGGGAGAGAGAGCAAAGAAAGAGCCACACAGTCATCTTCCCAGGGTGAAGAAACAAACACCACCACCAAAGGGGGAGGGGGAACCAGAGCGCAAAAGAAAAGTTATTCGGATTTCCCACCCCCGCCCCACCAACAAAGCCCTGCTTGGACAGAGAGGTCTCCCCAACATCACGAGGCAGCAAACTGAAAGCAAGAACGTGGCGAAGTGCAAACAAATCCAGTCCACAAAAGGCAGAAAAGTTTGGAGAGTTTCGGGCCGCCTGGGCCACGAGCGGGGGAGGGGAGGGAGGGAGGGGAGGAGGCGGGGAGGGGGAGGCGGGGAGGGGGCAGGGCAGGGGCCGCATGCGGGGCCCGGCGGGCGGCGCGGGCGGGCGGGCAGCGGGCGGGGGCCGGGCGCGGAGGCACTTACGGTTCGGGCGGTGGGCGAGAGCGATCCGTTGGGGAGGTAGGGGCTCGTCAGGTCGGGGATCATGATGAAGGGGTAGCCGGGATACGGTGGCCCCTTAAAGAGCCCTCCATCTTGCCTCTTGGCCGCTAACATGGCGGGGCGGCGAGGGGACGGCGGCGGCCGCGCGGAGCGGGAGAGAGCGAGGAGAAACTTTTTAGAAAGTGCCCCGAGGGGCTGGGCGCCCCGGCCGGGCCGGCGCAGGGCCAGGCCGAGCCGGGCGCGGGGCCGGGGCGCGCGGGGCGGCCGGCCCGGGGGGCGGCTCCGGGCGGCTGCGGGGCGCGCGGGGCGTACTCACCTTCTTCCAAACTTTCCCGGGATTTATCTCGGAAACTTTCGGAGCGAGGCGGAGGCCGTCTTTCCGCCTTCCCGGAGGGGTGGAGGTGGGGAGGGCGAGGGGCAAACGCCACGCAGAAGGGGGAGAAGGGGGAGAAAAAGAATCGGCGAGGTCGGGGGGGGGTAGAAAAAACAGGGTTACAAGTTTTTGCAATGGTGGCATCGCACGCACACGCCGCCCGCCGGGCCCCGCCGCCGCCCCCAGCCCCGATTTCTCCCCTTTCAGCAACATTTGCCAAGCCCAGGAAACAGATAAAAAACCCCACCAGCCCGAGGGGCTTTTCTTACCTCGGAATCGGAGGAGCTGTTTTGATTCGTTTCTGATTCATTGACTAGAGACGATTTGACATCAGCTAAATCCCTCTCTGCCGAGGAGTTTTCGGAGCTCTTCTCCTCCTGTTCGCCCTCGTCTTTGAAGGAAATCAGTTCGTCGTTGGCGCCTAGGTCATCCCCTCCACCGCCGTTCAGCTGCGGCATTTTTTTTCACCCACCAGCAGCAATTTTGGAAGAAAAATGAAGGAGGAAGAAAAGCCAAAAAAAAAAAAAATCACCCCCAAAAAGTTTTGCCCCCCAAAAAAAATATTGCAAGAAAAAGACGAGTCCAAGGTGAACTTTTTTTCTGCTTGGGGGTCTTTTTCTCCTGGGGAGGGGAAAAGAGGGAGGAGGGGAGGGGAAGGGGGGGGAGATCTTCTGCACGCGTGAGTTTGGGTTTCTTTTTTCTCTCGTTCCCAAGGATCCGATCAATGTGCAAAAAATAATAAATAAAAAAGGGGGGTAAAAAAAAAAAAACACCAACAACAACAAGAAGTCAGATATAAAGAGCAAAGGGGGGGGAAGCCGAAGATACAGGAGGTGCTCGTGCCGCTCGGATTTGAGTGAGTTGAAGTTAGACTGAGAGCTTTTCAGTTCAAAGGCGGCGCTGATTGACAGATAGAAAAAGGGGGATCGAAATCCGGAGGAACGGAGTAGTCTGGGAGCGGAGATTATTGACAGGGCGAGAGGAACACACTGCCTTAATGAGATGCCGGAGGGCGGGGCCGGCCCGGTGACGTGTGCATAAATAAACAGCCGGGGTGGGCGGGGCGGGGGCGGCTAACAATGATCCTTTCGGGCGCCGGGAGAGGGAGGAGGGAGAGGAGGAGGAGGAGAGGGGCGGGGAAGCCGGGGGGAGACGGAGGGAGGAGTGTGCAGGGGGAGCGGCCTGCGCGGAGTGTGTGCGAGCCCGGGATTCTGGGCGAGGGTGCAGGGACTCGCTCCGGGTGGGGGCGGTTTCAGAAAGACAATGCGGGGTGGGAGAGGAGGAGAAGGGGGTGGCGACCAAGTCAGGAATCCGAGCCGAGGAAGGCGGAAGGAAAGCCCACTTGGGGGGCGGGGATGGGGAGAGGCCCAAAAAAGTGCACTTTAGAAATATTAGAAATAAATCTTAAGGGAGGGGGAAAAGGAAGGGTAGTATTGTGAGAAAGTGGTGGCTGGGGGCGGGGGTGGGGGGGGTGCTTGGTGGTTAATTCAGCAGTGAAATCAGCCACACTTGGGCGGGATGAACAGAAGTGGTCAAAAGGAAAGATCAACCCTCCACTTTCAGAGAGCTTGGGGAAGTGAAGGGGCTGGTCAAAGTTCCTGGTCATCTACAATGAAAGAAACTATTAACCCATGAGGCCTCCCTCCTCCCTTTTTTGTTTATTAGTAGTGAATCATTTCATGAAATGTTAAGTCCCACTAGGATGAATATGCCGAAATGACTTTTTATGCAAAAAACAAATATTAAATATCAGAAACATTAAAAGTACCCTTAAGGAAAAATATATGATTCTTTTAAATGTAGAGTGGTGTTTTGCTTTTTTTTTTTTTAACTGACGTTGGAGGTAGTAGGAAATGAGCTAGAGTCAAAGTCCTTTCTGACTTCGGAGGTGAAAAGTTTGGGCGTTAACACCGTCAGGGAAAATAAAACCGAAAGTTCACCAACCCCTGGGATGAGTTGGGCTACAGTGTTTCTCGAAGGGGGTCTGAAATGAAATCCCCGAAAGACCGACCAAAATAATCAAGATGTAGGTGGCTTTGGCAGGAAATTGCTAACCAAACCAATGCTAGAAGACCTCTGGGAGAAGATGGGAAACCTGGGGCTTGAGGCAGGTATTTGTTGACTTTTAGGTATTAGAGGAGGAGCAGACTGATTTGCTACAAAATGGGGAATGGAATTATGTTAAAGAGGAAAGGCCCACCTCCCAAAACACAATGTGCCTGGGTGATAGAGCAAGAAGATTCATTTTTGCAAATATCCAGTAAGAAGTAGACTGGACACTGCAACATGAAAAAGAGAAAAAAGGAAAAAATAAATCAGTAGGATTTAGCAAATTGCCTCTTAGGAGCAGTATTAGGCTAAGTCCAGGATGTACTGTTTTCCCACCCTTCCCTGAAAAAGCTCACCTGCACTTCAGCTGGCCCATCAGCACCAAGATTTCCAAAAGAAAGCAAATTTGCCATGTAATATTTAGAGAGTTTGGGGTGTCAGCAAAACTGTTTTATAGGCTAAAGTCTCAGAAAGAAGACTACTAAAAATAATGATACCGAGATTGACAAGGCCAACGAATTCCCCTGCACTGGAAAAAATTCACAACCACATTTGCACACTAAAGAATATGCAGGCAAAATGAAAATGGGTTGGGGGGGAGGCAGAGAAGAATCACTGTAACTCCCAACTTTAATATTAATCAGAATATCAGAAGTAGAGTGAGAAGGAGCCTGAAAAGAAGTAAAACAAATGTGTACATTTAATCAGACAGGATTGCATAGGATACAAAGCACAGGGCTAATTAGTCTCAGCAGGTAGGACTAACCTTCAGACTTCATAAATAAATAAGGCGGGCACAGTGTCTAAGAGGGAGAGTGGAGACAGAAAGGGGATTATTTCAAGACACCAAGTGAAAACATGAAGAATGAAATGCTTCACTGTCAGAAATCCATGTACATATGGATTTAACAGTTTCCTTTTTTAGGTCTTTTACTTGGTTACCTTTAGATTGACACATTTAGTGAAATGACCATAGCTTTACACACTTGCTAATTGTCACCTGTATACTTGATGTGCCCAAGTCTGTCTTTATGCAGCGTAGACTTTCCTAAGGCTCATTTTAGGAACTGACTTACTTAAACTGGAACACATTTATAGGAACTCAATTTTATGGCAATTTCTTTGTCCTGTGTGGTAGTTTTTTGTTTCGTTTTGCTATTTTAATGAAACCCTCGTCTGAATTAAGTTGGGTAATGAGGTCTTCTATGTCCTTTATAGTACTACCTGTATAATATAATCTCTGGAATAATATAATCTCTGGAAATTTTAAAGAATGTACTGACTGATTTTACTATACTGGCCTGCATTTTTATCATATGTAAATACTAAGGGCTTTGTTCCGATGATTAGTAACTTTATCCATTTTGGCATATCCTTATTTTTCTCATTCAAAGGGAACTCTTTTGAGTCTTTCCTCCCTTAAATCTCTGATTTAATTAAGCAATTAAAAAGTTATTCTGTGATAGTGCATGTCCCATATTTAATTTCGTTACTTGGTACAAAGGCTTGAGTAGACCAGCAAGATTTCAGAGGGGCGAGATCCCTGATGCTTTGCAAGTCCCTCAGGTGATGCCTGAATTGAGGAGGGGGAGGGAATGGCAGAAGTGGCACTGCAGTACCCAAGCAGCAAGGTATTGAAAAATACCTTGAATACTATTTGAAAAAAAGGTAGGCTGGCCCACAATGTGGATGTGTAATTTATAGATTTGGTGTGAAATTTTAAACACAGTTGACTTGGGTCCAAGTGCTGAGGCAACTTCTCTGTGGATACTGATGACTCCTGGTTTATAGGACCAAGAGTTCTGCCCAAATGGCAGAGATTCGAAAAACACAGGAAACCAGACCAGTTCTGACTTTAGCCTGAGCCAGGGGATTTTGCCACCATGGGCTCTGCATGTTGGGAAATGGGTGGAATGGGGGAGAGGCTGTGCCCTCTTCCCTTGGAGTCCAGTTTGGTCTCTGCATATTTTGGGGGGAGGGCAGGGAGAAACTGGGCCCTCGCCCCTTGGAGTCCATTCCTGGCACCAGTCCAGGTTCCGAACTGTAAGTAGCTGTTCCTAGGCCTCCCTGACTTTGACCTCGCCCTCTTCATCCACTGCCCTTCTGCTGCTTCTCTTCTGTTTTCTCCTCTCCTTCAGCCCTCCCTTGATTAAATCTCTATGGATACATGTCGATACCTTAAAGCTTAAGTGAGTAGGGTTACCTCTTCCAGAGGTGCTTCCTTGTTCATCCCTATCAATGAGCATGAAAAGGAGGTTTTGGTTTACACAAATCACCTTTTAAGGGTTGGTTCCCCACAGGGGAGATATGGTGAAGTGTTCAGTGCCCACTGAAATACAGTGCCTGTGCCTGTGCCTGTGCCTGTGCCTGACGGGACTGCAGAAATAGGCTGGCCACAGGCTGTGTCACCTTCGTCTTGTCTCACCTGGTGGATGAGGTGGTTGGAATGGGCTTTTTTAAATTGCCTGTTAATATTCAAAGAGTCCATGATTCCATCGTTTCACCACACGCCCCAGTTATGGCTCAGAGATTCACGCACACCAGCAAAGAAGACAAACCATATTGAAAGCTTGGCTCTGGAATTTCAGAAAAACAAGGCTAGTCTGTCAGATTTACCCGAAGTGGGGAATACATGTTGACAACCATATTCAGCTCCCCCAATCTCTCAGCAAGATTCTACTAAGTTACCCTTGACAGTGATATGTACATGTGTGGGTGTGTGTATTTGTGTTCCTGTGTGATTTTTCTTTAAAGATCTGGGCTCCAAGATGGATGATCTGTTACCCCACTGTGTTGGACTTATCTATGCCGGGAGTGTGCTAAGGGAAGCCAAAAAAAGAATCTGAAAACATAAGGAAGCTATAAAATGGGGAAATGTTTAGAAGCCAAAGTCCTGATTCCACTGTGAGATTTTCTGTTTGCTTTTTGTTCTGCGTGGGTGATGGTTCCTTATTTGGACCTTGAGGAAAGCTACTCCCTTAGCCAACATAGGAACGTTAAAAATTGGACACCCAAGAGTTTTCAAATTTAGCAAGAGGAAGGGTTAGGCAAAAGCTCCCACTTCACAGGCATCCTCTATCCCCCCAACGACTCTGTGAAGGGACTTGGAGAGACATACACTCTCTCCCCCTTGAAACCCTGAGGAACACTCTTCTGTTCTGACATTTTTCTGAAGTGCCGGGCTTGATCACCTTGCTTCAGCTAATAACAGGTCCGGGTAATAAAGTGACAATAATACCTGATGATCCAAGGGTTAATGGGGAGACGTATGCATCTGTACAGGGTTTCATCACCTGCCTTCATAAGCCGATTACCACTGCTATAGGCATTTGTGACAGGAACAGCTTTCTGAAAGACATCAGTCCTCCATAAATATACTTTTCTTATTGACAAGATGTCTTTTAACCCTAATAGTAATGGAAGAAGGCCAATAAATGAAACATTTACTGCATAACTTGCCTTATTTTGGGGTGGTGTACAATTCCTTTCTAGCTGTCTCTAGAAGATGTTTTCAGCCTAATTTGCTCCCTAGAAATTTCGCTCGCTACAG